AAATGATGTCTATTTTTATGAATGAACTGAGGGGGCTTATGAGGCTTCCACATAAGTAATGACAATTTTGTTAATCACACATGAAGATAAGGTTATTTATTAAAAAATGCTCCTCAAATAATATATAAGGAATTAGATCTCACCTTTTCTAATAATTTCTCTCAATTTTCTTTCAAATTATTTAGATAAACTAAAATTTTCAAATAATATATAAAACAACAAAAATAAACTTATTTTACATGTTCAAATATTACATATCAATTATCCATCGGTTCAATCGGTTAGTCTCGGGTTTTAGTGTTTTTTATATATGGATAATTTAAAAATAAAAATTGAATTATCGGATCATTGGTTTAACCGCGGTTCGGGTTGAATTTAAAATATTGATTTAAATGCAAAAATATTTTAAATACATACTGTTTCAAATTACCAAAATATTTTTTAAGTTATTAATGAAATTTTTCATCATAAAATATTTCGTGCTTGCGAAGTTAAAACCAAAATTAAGTTTGAATTTGACATAACCTATAAAATAAAGGTTAAGGCCAAAAATTTCATAAATTTGTATATTACTTTAAAGGCTTTGGTTAATTATTAATATCAGAAGTAACTAAACTCTCAACTTATTTTTCTTAACGCAAACAGTTAAGCTTGAATTTGATTACACTTCGAAAAAGAATTAGTGTTTTCACTGCACGGTTACATCTATATTTTTCTTCTTCTTAAGTCTTACTTTTTTTCCCCTTGTACCAAATATCATTTTTCATTCTGTAGGCTTAACTAATCTTGTACATTGCGGATCCTAATACCCACATTAGGTATTTGGTAGTTGTATATGTACAAGATTAGAGAATAATAATCATGTGGCCAACTATATTACTTCCTTTATTGCTTCATGAATTCACACATGACATTTCAGAACTGGATCTTCAAAAAAAACTATAGTTTTAGTAGATTAAACCATATGCTAATGACGACGATGATTTCGAGATATATACAGTTGTTGGCATGTGAATTCTATACACTAAGAACGATATCATAGATTTAAGAGTATATCGATTTCATTCTACCATATGATGGACGACAGAGTGAAAACGTACATCTAATTAGCTGCGAGTACGATAGTTTGGTTACAAAGCAATGTTTCCGTGTTTAATTTTTTTGAGAACATGATTGTTATTTTGTCGCCATTATGATAACGCTAGTCAAGTTTTCGTGCTCATCATTTGTTTACCTTCTATGAATCGAATTAATACGTTGTAAGATTATGATGAAATACATTCATGAAGAAAAAAATATCATGCGTTATTGTATGAGATCTTCTGCAATAAATTACGCATTAGGTGAAGCTGTTATTTTGTTTGTTATGGGTTTGGACCTGGTCAAGCTGTTATGTTACTGTTATTAAACAGAAATTTTACTTATTTTGTAATAAGCAGTTTCTTTAGTATTTCATATTAGTTTATGTGTATCAAAAGTTTAAGTATATTTATGTTTCTTTTGTTTCTTTTTTTTTTTTTATGTTTTGAACGGGTTCTACCGATAGTTCCATCAAATTTTAAGCATGTATAGCCTATTCAATCACGGAATTATGTATAAAACATATTATTTTCTTCAGATTTTTAGTAATTTAAAATCTCAATTAAAGATCAATCATAAAACAAATCCTCAACTAAAAATTCTACGAAATAAACTTTCATATTTATGTCCATTAATGTTTTCGCCTCTTCGTAACCTTTGTAGTCAACTGTCGACAGATAAATATTAACTGTTACGTTAACTGTTGACGACAAAGATTATGGAGGGGCGAAAACATTAATGGACATAATGATAAGTGTTTATTTTGTAGAATTTTTAGTTGAGAGTTGTTTTATGATTTATCTTTAGTTGAGGCTTTAAATTACCAAAAAGAAATTAGTAATTTAAACTTGCAGTGAAAAACAAAATGGTGAATAAACTTATGGTTAAACTAATCATAAAGTGAATTAGTTCATCAAATTTCTGAACAAATCAAACCTCATCTTGTAAAGTTGGAGTGAAACATTGAGCACCTTACTCTTGTCTGAACTTCCCAAATTACTAGAGAATCTACTAATTTTAACATAAACAAATACATAAATAAGACCACAGTTAATGTGTTGAATTATAGCTCAATGAGCGCCTCTAACATATCTATAACTTTAGGACAAGCTATCTTGAGTTACCTTTTGTCTTTTCTAAGATTGGTTGGTTGGTCCGATGAAAATGCATGAGTGATTAGTTTGAGTGATGTAGCCACTGAAAATGGCATTAAAAATACTGTCTTTATAGGATGACCACTGAAAGATGAACACAGTAAAGGAAAATTTACTATAGCATTGAGAAATTGAGATGATTTGTTAGAAAAAAAAAAGAATGAGCTGGCAGAGATTGGTCTACTTGATTTGTTGTCTGAATTAATGCGGATTCCTCATCAAATGAGAATCAGATATCTTATGTTTGAACTCCGGTCTTAGGTTGTTCCTTTGTACTAGTTGACTAATGAAAAACCCAACCCAAACACTAGTCTAAAAAACAAGTTCTTTTATGAAAGATCGAACAGGGAAACAAGAATAACTACAAGTTAGATTTACCAAAGGAGTGCAAGGTCTCATTGACAAAGAAAAGTGAGTTTATATTAACAGTAAAATTGGTCATAAAATCTATGAAGCTTGAAATAATTACTAAATAATCAATACTTAAGATTTGCTAAAAAAAGTTTTTTAGTAATTTAAAGCCTTAACTAAAGACAGATGGTTAAAAAAACTCTCCAATAAAAACCATATGAAGCAAACCTTCATCTTTATATCCATTAATGTTTTTGTTTCTCTGTAACATTTGTCGTCAACAGTTAACGTTTCTCCGTCGAAAATTGACAAGATCACAAAGGGACGAAAACATTAACGGACATAAAGATAAAATTTTATTTTATAAAATTTTTAGTTGAATGTTTGTTTTACGATTAATCTTTAGTTAAATGTTTAAATTACTAAAAATCCATTTTTTGTTAAAGGGTTTAAATTACTAAAAATCCATTTTCTTCTAACAAAAGTTGAATCGAAGTGATGTGTGTTGTTTTTACATATTTCTAATAATCATTCCCACAAAAGTTTTGTTTCTGCATTACAAAACAAAAATTGAATGGTGTTGAATATCAGTATATCACCACCTAAACTTACATCGCGTCTGAGTTTTATAAATTTCTAGGAGAAGATGTGGTTGTCTAGTTTAGATTATTTTACAAAACAAGTAGCATAGCCATTAATTGTAAATTAATGTTTTGGAGGCATAATTAGCTGGTTCAACAAAGAAAAGCACATGGAGAATTGGAGACACTTGCCTGAAGCTTTGTGTTTAGAGAGACCAAACACAATTAAATAACTTGCTCAAAATCTATCCAATACAGAAAAAATAATATAACTATTAACACGTCACCTGAAGAGCAATTTATTTATTTTGAGGTAATCATATTAGAATCGTTTTATGGAAACAAAATCCTCATAATTAACAAAACTTGACTAATAAATGAGTTTTAATTCAGGGTTGGCATGCTTAAGCAAAATAAGCTTTAATAAAGACTTAAAAAAAAACTGATTGTAAGATTACAAGATTGTACTAATTTAAAAGTCAGTAATAATACATAGCTATTAAGATTATCGTTTATTATTTTACCAAAAACAAAAAGATTAGTACTATCATTTATGCAAGCCTAGCTAGCATCGTTTACTTAATTACATATACGGCAACGTTTAAGTCTATAATTAATTAAGGCATTTTCTAACTTTTATAATTAAAGTTGCAAAATGAGAAACCAATAAAAAATGAAGAAAAAGAGAAACCAATGAAAAAATAGAAGAGAAAAATGGGAAAAAGGATAAAATGAGAAAATTAAAAAAAAACTTTCCGTCGTCACAGTGAGGAGAAGAAGTTTGGAATCAAAGAAGAAACCGACGTCGCTCTATCCCTCTCTTTGGATCTCTCTCTGTGTCTCTCTCTCCCTGATTACACATAATCAGGTAATTATCATCTTTAATCATCACGATGATCGGCTTCTGTAATTCCCATCATTATTTATTTTTGGTGGGTTTTTTATTTTATTTTTATTGTTTCTCGATTTGAGTTATTATTGTTGTTATATCTCTGAAAAAATTGCATTGTTCTGAGTTCTTATGATTTGTAATCTGTTTTGATTTTCTAATTAGAAGATTGTTGATTCTCTAACCTTTATTACATGTTTTGCAGGGAGTTTTCGGTTTCGGATTATTACAAGTCTTTTTATTGTCTTGTCTTAGCTCTGTTGCAGCCCCTTTGAAATCTCCAAAGAGCTTTATCCTTCTATGTTCTCAAGGTTTGATTTTTCTTCTTCTTAGTATTGCATTGAAATGATTGTTCTGATTTTTAGTTAGGCATGTTGGTGGTGAGCTAATTTCATTATTTTTAATTATTATTGTGTGAAAGCTTTAATTTTTTTTTTTTTTGGCCATTTGAAGAACTTGTTCTTAGTTTCTGAACTTGGTTTTCTTTCTGCAGCTAAAAGTTTTATTTAATTTTTCATGAGCATGATCTTGGCTTTTACCATGAGTTTGAGAATGCACAATGCAGTCTTCCCAGAAGATGTGCTTTCTAAATTTTGATTTCATTTCTTAATATCCATATTAGAAGTTGACGTATACAGCTTAAAAAGATGTAATATAGCTTAGTTTTTAGGAACCAGCTTCAGAGAAGCTGTAGTAATGATGCATTAATTGGTTTATTGATATAAAAAAGCTGAATTTCTTACCTAGAAGTGCCATTTATGTAATTTAGCTAAGTTTTAAGTATCAACTCAAGAAAAGGTGTAATAATATTGCATTTATTGATGTAAAAAAGACTAAATTTCTTACTAAGTTTAAACTTGTTGTGTCATCATCATTATGCTTGCTGATGTTTCTTCTCTTATATATAACTCAAAAACCTATCAGAGGGCTTATGCAGCAAGCGAAATGGGACAAAGAAATAGATCAGTCGATTTAGAAATGGAGCAGCAGCAGCACCAATCTCAAGCCTCTCTCCAACCAGGACCTTGCCTCCTTTTAGGCAGCTTTCCTCAACCGGATAATAATAACATACCTGCCATGGTTCCTAATTCTCTTCAAGACAACTCGGCAATGTTCTATGGTCTTCCTCAGTACCATTATCATCACCAGCCTGCTCCCACCAATTACTATGCTCCTCCCTATGTGGCATTTCAGGCTCAACCACCAAGTCAGTTACCATCTTCTAGCAGTCACGGTGATCATGATTTCGAGAGGAATGCTCGTTTTATGGATCACACACCAGGTGCTTATAAAAGAAAGAACGCTGAAGGTCCTCAGTACTTAAGTACTTTAGCAGCTCCATTCAATAACAGTCCAGGAGCTGTTACAATGAACCCTGTTATTCCACCTCCTCCTCCTCCTCATGCTCCAAACAGTTTCGTTCAAGGGAACTATGCTGGTCATCATCCTTACCCACCTCCTGGCTCAATATGGTATGATCAACACCATGGCAGACCTGATGGTTCACCTTCCTTTTGGCCACACGCACCTTACATGCAAGGTACCTACAAAACCATAATCTCTTCTTCAAGTTTTAAGGAAGTCACTGCTCTACATTTCTCTTATCTATCTTTGAATGGTCTTTTAGGTAGTAACATTGTCGCTGGTTCCATAGAGTCTAGTAGTAGAAACCCTGCACCATTCATGTATCCTTCTCAGTTAAACCCAAGGGACCATTATTATAGTCATCATCATCATCATCCGGCACCTCCTCCTGTACGAGGTCAGAGCGCCACATTATACCCTCCCATGGCTTCTTCGCCCTCATACAGAGTCCCTTTTGGGAACTTTGCTCCTCAGAACACAATCAATAGTGGTCCAGAAATGGGTTCAGCTCAACCAACAGGGTTTCGGATATACCAGCATCATCAGCGAGATGATTCTGTACCTTTAGCAGCTCTTAGACAACACCGTGGAGGAGTTCCTCGGTTTAGAATGATGCCTGATGATGTAAACTTCTTCCCTCATTTGTTCTTTCCCCATCTTGTTCACTTTCGTTGGTTGCTCAAGATTCTGTGTCCTTTGGTTCTCTCAATGTGTGTAGGAAGTTGCTATATTGGAGTTTGGAGACTTCCTTGGCGGTTCTGGAAATACTCACATTGATCATCATCGAGATATGCGTTTGGATATCGAGGAAATGTCTTATGAGGTGAGCCAATTATTAGCAATGCTCAAGAAATCGGTAGGCGGGAATTACGTGTTTATAGGGGATTACTAATTAGACGGATGCCTAGACTGATTATTTGAACACCTAAATCGATTTTTTTGAGATTGTTATAGAAAATGAAAAGGTGCAGCCTAGGCTGATTTTTAGAACACTAATCATTAGTCTTTAGTTTTTACTGATGTTATTGCCAGAGTTATGTTTTTACTATTTAGCCGCATGTCTTTTTATATTCTCCCTCTGAGAAGTGGCTTTAGCATGAGTTTGTGGAACCACAGTGCAGGTTTCTGTGATCACAGTAATGTATTTGTTGAAACTGACTTGATAACCCGTTGGTCTGAACAGGAGCTTCTTGCGTTAAGTGAGCGAATTGGAACCGTAAACACTGGTTTACCAGAGGAAGATGTTAAGAACCATCTAAAAACAAGAACATGTTCTGTAATCAACCTTGGAGATGAGTCCTCTTCGTCTCCACAAACTAAAGATAGAGAAACTGAACCTTGCACGATATGTCAGGTAACAAATATAGCCAAAGATCAATGAAGCTTTTAAATGCTGCAATGCTTGGATTTTAAGAGTTCTCTTGATTTGTTTTTTACAGGAAAGCTTCAAGAACGAAGAAAAGATTGCTACTTTGGACTGTGGGCATGAGTATCATGCGGAATGCTTGGAGAAATGGTTGATTGTGAAGAACGTTTGCCCAATCTGTAAATCAGAAGCATTGGTCATGGAGAAGAGAAACGTATAATAGAAAAGAAGAATGACTTCTTTTAATCTAATGGGTTTATTATATATATATTTATATAAAAAGGGAACTTACATGAAGAGAAGAAAACAGAGTTTGGTTTTATATTTCAGCTCCAAAAGGATTCTGTAAATTTGTACATTTTTTGTTTGTGCACATAACAATGTGTGAATGGTCAAAAACTTTCTTTTTATTTGGGTTCTTGGCTAAAGTGATACTGATAAAATGTACAGGCTAATTTGTTTTTCTAGGTTATTTCATTTTTTATGTTTTCTTGTTTCAAATGCCTATGGTTTTATTATATGTGTTGACCTAGGACTATTTTCAATATTCTTTTATGAAATAGAAAATTCTATAAAACATGTGAAGTTTACTTTAATTTATGTATCTAAAATAGTATTTCTTTAAGTTTTTGTTGGCCAGATCATATATTATGAAAGCTCAAATGGGCTAAGCCTAATCTAATGAAGAGATACGATTCATCTTATTCAATATTTTTTCCCTTTTTTTCCTCGCGTTCTTTTTCATCTTCTCAATCTTTTGTTGAAGACGTATAGATATCATTTTTTACCAAGTTAATACTCTGTAAAATTCAAAACATATATCTATTCATAAATTATTACTTTTAAACATAGTTTATCGAAATTTAAAGTTTTATGGTTGCACAAAAAAGTTGGAAGTTTTCCATGTATGGATGGGAGGTGTTTTTAGTAAGCTTGAATAATTTAGTTCTCATTGGAAGACAAGAGGATAAAGCAACAATGGTTCCTCGTCTGCCAGTTGTAGCTCTCAGAAACATTATTTTCTAAATTTTCATTTTTTATTAAATTTTCTTCGTGCCATCACTCTCAGAAACATATGACAATACAGTATATTTTTTAAACAAGTATGATCTTGATTTGTTCTACGCAAAAAGGTATGATTTGATTTGCTTATTTTTAATGGTATATATGATGTCGGCAAGTGTTGACAAATTTATGATTATGCTCTTGGGATCTGGCTTAATATTACACGTGTGGCCGCGTAATGAGATCTCATTAATACTGATGAATAACGAACGATTTTAAGCTAACTACGCGATTCCAAATTTGCCCCTGATCCTGAAATAATGCTGACTTTAATTCATTGTTGAATTCGAGGAAGCCAGTAGGTCATCTCCATTAAGAATTTATTAGAGGTTCAAGAGGGGTTCACACGGTTTACGAGACAAACAGTGGTGAACCCGTTTTACTTGAGTTTGTTGTGGTGATACTAGTTCGTCACGGGTTCACTATCTGGCGAACCTCAATGAGGGTTTACTGATAGAGATGCCCTTATTACTGTAGAGAAGATCATTAATGCAGTAAATACTTTGCAATCTTTGACGTGGACAACTTCTAAAATAATGTTATTAGAGCATCTATAGTCCCACTCCATAATTTTACTGCAAAATGAAGTGATAAATAGAATAATGAGCAGATAAAAAAAATTATTTTATTTATAGATTAATCACTTTTTTGTTTGTTCATTACTCTAAATCCCATTTTATTTTGCAGTAAATTATGGAATGGAGTTAGAGATGCATGTATTAAAAGTATTTAATAGAAAAAAATAATACGCAAGTGATGATAAGGTTAAAATGGTAAAAAGAGTCAGCTCTTTCCTTCTTCTTCGTCATCTTCCCACAAAAACTGCCCCCACACAACTTACACACACATAAGACACAACACTTATCTTTCTGTAATAATATCTCCAACTTTATATATATTTATACCTGTACATACTCATCCGCAAAGAGTTAAGCTCTTTTTTTTTTTCTGCTTTTGTTTGCATTCAAATCAATCATGAGATTCAGATCTCTCATCTCTCTCCTCTTCCTTCTCTTCTTCACTTCACCATCCTACGCCCGATTCGTCTCCTTACATCCATCTTCCCCTGATCTCATCATCTCCGATGGACTCCACGGCGGGAGTCTCGGCTCCGGAACCGTTATCAAGACAGTGGTCTCTTCTCCTCCGGCTGAGGAGAAAGAGGAAGCTTGTGAACAGACATACGGGTTCATGCCGTGTACTAAGACCGCGCTTGGGAACGTGTTTCTGATCTTGGTTTATGGGTTTCTCATGTTCACGGCGGCCACTTATCTCTCTGCTGGAAGTGAGCTTTTGCTAGAGATCTTGGGACCTGGAATTGTCGGTGGTTTGTTTCTTCCGATGCTTGGAGCACTTCCTGATGCTATGCTTATTATGGGTAGGTGAAAGGTTGATTCTTTTTTGAATTTTGTAGATTTGGAAAAGTGAATATCTTTGTGTTAGGTTCTGTGAATCATATAGTGAGTGCGGATGATGCTTTCATGTTGTGTCTCGTATCGTTTGATTCCTGGGTAATTCGGTAATAAATTTTAGTTCGGTTTTAATTTTTTTTTTTATCCAAAATTTTAGTTCGGTTGAAATTACCCAAATTTAACCAAAATTACAGTGGAAATATAATCTAAACCAAAAACTTCGGTTAGTTTGGTTAATACAGTTCGAAATGTTCTTGTAGGCCTAGTTAATTGAATTTGAGACATAAAAAGTGAATCTTTATTGTTTTTTTTTTCTGAATCACAAATCTTTGTTAAGTCAATCTTGTATTTTCTTGTGTCAATATAACATTTTTTTGTGTAGTTATTGATGTTTGCTCTTTTTGTCTTGATGGGTCACTTGAATTGTATATATGTGTTGGTGTGTTTTGTTTCAGTGTCTGGACTATCAGGAGACGCGGCAACTGCACAAACCCAAGTCTCTGTGGGAATGGGTTTACTCGCTGGCTCCACCGTTATGCTTCTCACTGTTATCTGGGGAACTTGCACTGTTGTTGGCAAGTGTGACCTTCGTGATTCCATTGCTGTTAACAACCAAGACACCAAAGGCTTCCATCTTAAAGGTAACAAGAAAATGTCTTACGACTCTTGTGACATACAAAAGGTTGAATGCTAATAACTGTTGTTTTGTTTCTGTGTTTATAGATTCTGGTGTAACGGTTGATGTTTGGACCAGCTATGCTGCAAGAATAATGGCTATATCGGTTATTCCGTTCATCATTGTCCAGCTTCCACAGATGTTGGACTCAACTTCTGGTAGACATTTGGCTGTATTGGTTGCTCTGATCCTCTCTGTTACAATGTTGATCTCTTACTGTGTGTATCAGGTAAAGTAGCCACTAGACTGTTGTCTCCTTTTGTTTTTTTTTTGTTTGCTTTCTCCATATTTTGTTTATGAGATTATTCTTCATCTATATAGGTCTTCCAACCATGGATCCAAAGGAGAAGGCTCGCATTTGTCAAGCACAAGCACGTTATATCAGGAATCTTAAAGCACTTGAAACAACATGCTTTGGGAAGGCTTCTTGATGATGAAGGTCAGCCTGATGAACATGTCATCCGAAAGTAAGTAGAGCAAGATTTTCGTAAGGACTCTACTTGGTGTCACCATGTGCTTATAATCATTTTTATTAGGTTGTTTGAGACGATTGATGCAAACAAGGACGGACACTTATCAGCAGCTGAGCTTAAGGCGCTTATCATTGGGATCAGCTTTGAGGATATCGATTTTGACAAGGATGATGCTGTTGGAAAAGTTCTTCAAGATTTCGACAAGACTCTTGATGACCAAGTTGATCAAGAAGAGTTTGTCCGTGGGATTAAGCTTTGGCTTATCCAGGCAATGGGAGCTGCTGGTCCATCTGGTCCTGATGCTGGTCCTAGAACTATGAAGTTCCTTGACCACTTCCATGTGGTAAGAAAGAGAGAGGAGAGACACTGTTGTTACCCTATTTCAAACTTCTATGGAACTAACTTTTTGTGTCTTGTGCAGCAAACAAAGAGAGAGCATGCTCTGTTGGGTGATACTGAGAATGGTGAGAATGATGAGGAGTCAGGGGAGGTTGCAGACCCGAAATGGATCACCATTAAAGCAGCTCTGTTGCTACTTTTAGGAGCAGCCATTGCAGCTGCATTTGCTGATCCTTTGGTGGATACAGTTAACAACTTCTCAGCAGCTACAGGGATCCCATCTTTCTTCATTTCTTTTATCGCTTTGCCTTTAGCAACCAACTCAAGTGAAGCAGTCTCTGCCATCATCTTCGCCTCCCGCAAAAAGATCAGAACCGCCTCCTTAACTTTCTCCGAGGTATGTTTATTTCAGCGAACTGAACCATCTTCCTCTCTCATTATCCTTACTTAAAGGCTAAAACCATCTTTGTTGGTGTTTTGTTTGTCACAGCTATGTGGTGGAGTGACAATGAACAACATTCTGTGTCTCTCGGTGTTTTTAGCAATAGTCTACGTTAGAGGATTAACATGGAACTTCTCATCAGAAGTGTTGGTGATTCTCATAGTTTGTATGGTGATGGGAGGTTTGGCTAGCTTCCGCACAACGTATCCGCTTTGGACATGTTTCATAGCATACTTGCTTTACCCATTCTCTTTGGGTCTGGTCTATATTCTCGACTACTGTTTTGGCTGGTCATAGGTCAAAGGGTTTGTTCACATGAGTGAGCTTGTTCTTGTGTGTATCCTTTTCTTTTCTCTCTTTATGTTATGTTATGTATGTGAGAGTGTAGAAGAAGCTTGCAGTTAAAGTTCTGAGATTGTTCAGTGATGATGTGTTTGAAACACTCTTATTAAAGCTAATAATATGTCTTCTTCTCCTACTACTATTGGATGTTATTATTTTACTATTGGAGACTCTTATTGACCAATTCACTTGTAATCTCATTTTAGACTGTCATTAATTTTCAAAAAGAGAACAAAGATAAGATGAAACAACTGATGATTTGGTTATTTCTGCTGATGTATAAGATGAATCTGTTTTATCTTCGTTGTCTCTCCACCAAAATCCATTTACAAATTCATGATCTGTTAATTTGTTAGTTGTGCAAACACTCCGATATTGTGGTTCATTTTGTATTAACACATTAGCCTATTGTCAAGGTCCCGTAGCTCAGTTGGTTAGAGCGTTGGTCTTATGAGCCGAAGGTCGCGGGTTCGAGCCCCGCCGGGACCAATGTGGATTCTGTATTTTCTTTTACAAAATTTTAGTTCTTGAGACCCAAAATTAATGGTCGCTTTTTAAACATCTTATTTCTTTTACTCCATTCAGGCCATCAAATATCATTATGAATCATACATTATGTGAATTGTATGTATAATACTTTTGTCTGTTGTTGAGTACTATGTATACACTTCTAAGAATGTAAGAGGCATTACCTTCTTTTGTCTCCAAGAATGTCTGGATTACCAGTTAGGTCCTCTGATTCAAAAAGAGTTAGTTAGTGATAATATTTGGCTTTATAAGATGCGAGCTTCTTCCATGGAATCCCAATTTTATAATGATTAGCAGATCACCATAATTTTCTTATTGTAGCTATGCTTGGTGGCTTTCAAAGGGAGTTGAAAGCATGACTTTGATTAGCTTTGATTAGAACCTCTTTTCATGCAGAGGGTAATATTTTTAGTACTTAACTTTCCAAAGCCTCTTTGTCTTTGTATCCGCCATTATTGAACTAAGATGCTTTCTGTTACCAACTTTTAATCCAATTCCAAACATAATGGAAGATTTTTGAAAGTTAGTTTCCTGACAACTTCGATAATCATAGGCCAATAATCTTTCATAGAAGCATGTATTCACTCATATGGTTCTGGAATTTTATGTCTATTCCGTCTGCTGTATGGCTATTCAAAGCTCTTCTTTAGTTACTTGTATAGTTAAGCTGTTAAGGATGCATGTGCTACAAAATGTTGTTCAGATTACCACTGTAATGTGAAGCAAAAACATTATCAGAATATGCTCACAATTACTCGTTGAACATCTTTGTCCGGTTACCAGGTTTTTCCATTATCATCCATAATATATGTAGTTTGGCTGTAGCTTTTGTTTTGTTCTGTGCGTACATGGTAATCTTATCTCCTTCGTAGGGCCATTGTACTGTGCTCTTAGTCCTACGGTTTTCATCTTCTGACATGTATATTATGTGGTTATAGTGGATTTACGAAAATTAATATAATCGTAATCAAGGCATGTAGACTCAGTAAGAAGGTAACAAGAAGAATCAAGCACACAAAAGTATCATTGTTCCAAACGGAAGAAGAAACCTACATGTTGACATGTTACAGTTTTATCTCTGTGCTTTGGGAATAAACCCAAAAAGCCTTAACACATGGACTTTATTGATGAAACCCAAACCGGAAAATTTGAAAAAAATAACCGAGTCAAATCGGTTTAACTCATTGGTGGGCGAACTTAACACCCTTCTCGATGGAAGACTTGAGCTCTGGCTTCAGTGCTTCCAACCCTTCTTTCTCAAAGTCTGAGAGTGGCCCTAAATCAAGAACCTCCTCCACACCGTTCTTCCCCAACCTCACCTGATTCATTAAATCACCAAACCATCACATCCATCCTCTCGAGTCATGAGACATAGTGTGTTTGACCGATGCTAAGTTTTGAGGATTACCTTTGAGGCAAAGAAAGGAAGCTCAGTGATTGTGGACTGCACGTATGAGCATTCCACAACATCTGGAACTCCGTTAAGTCCTTTCAAGCATGCATCAGCGAATAGTGCTCCAGCATAGCTGTGACAATGATCAAATAACAGAATCTGATAATCAAAAACAGATTCAAGAAACAATTACGAAAAGGGTAGCAGAGTACTTACGCCATTGACAACGTAGCTGAACCTTTTCCTGCTTTCGCCTCCACGACCTCTGTACCTCCATCTTGGGTACGCTTGGTGAGAGCGGTGAGCACGTCACTGGACAAGTTAGCTTGAGGAGTGGCCTACATTGTTTACAAAACAGAATGACTTAGCCGAACAGAGCTAAAACGCTGAAAAGTAATAATAGAAGATTGAGTCTGAGAGGTAACCTGAGAGAAGAGTGGGAGGATCGTAACTCCAGCATGACCACCAATCACCGGAACATTAACTTCTGCAGACACAACAAGCATTCAAAATTTAAAACTCGGGCTTGGCATTCAAAATGTGAAGACAACAACAAACATCCTTGAACACAGCTATGAAAAGGTAAAAAAGACATGAAGACGTAGCGAACCTGCAACAGGGACATTAGCCTTTCCAGCATAGAAAGTCTTGGCCCTAACAACGTCAAGAGTGGTAACACCAAACAACTTCTTCTCATCGTACATACCAGCCTTCTTGAATATCTCAGCAGCAATTGGAACAGTAGAGTTTACAGGGTTGCTGATCATGTTAACAAGTGCCTGTTTCAACACAAAGAAACAGTAACTGTCATTTGATTATTATTATTATTAAAAAAAAAACACAACAGCGTCAAAAACAAGAATCAAGCTTACATGAGGGCAGTACTTGGCGATGGCAGAGCAGAGATTCTTGACAATACCAGCATTGATGTTGAAAAGATCATCACGAGTCATACCAGGCTTCCTGGGGACACCAGCAGGGATGATAACGAGATCTGCTCCTTCAAGAGCTTTCGCCAAGTTTTCATCTCCCATGTATCCAACCACCTATTTTAAATTAAGTCCACACAAACAAATCTCACATCAATATTGGAATCTAAAGCATCTAGTAAATGATGAAGAGGATGGTGGTGGTTAGTACATGAGATCTGGTGTTGATGTGACCGACATCGGCGGCGACTCCAGGTGTGTTGGCGATATCGTAGAGGGAGAGGCTAGAGACGAGGGGGTTTAGTTTCATCAGGAGAGCTAGGGGCTGCCCGATTCCACCGGCGGCGCCGAGGATGGCGACTTTACGCTCGGGGACGGAGGAGGAGGAGAAGTTACGGCGGAGAAGCGATTGCTTCGCCGAGGAAGAGGATCGGACGAGTACAGATCTGAACATTTTTTGAGATGGAAGGTAGCTAGGGTTTTACTCTCGAGAGGATTATGGAGGAGAGAAGGAAGCAAATCTATTTTTTTTTTCTTTTATGTGGTGAAGCTCACACTGACTCGACGTTAGTTTTATGATGTGACTCTGCTTTAATGCCTCCCACGTCCTTTTTTTTGTTTGTTTAATCGTTGTTAAAAAAACAATTAAATGGTTTAAATTTCATTTCAAATTGATCAGAATTACACATACTGTACACTGTATATATCAAAAAAATCATATTCCAAGTGTTAAAAAAACTCACATTACTGAATTATCATTTATACTCAGTTTATAAGAAAACACTGTGTTTTTTTAATGATTTTGGATGTTTTAGAATATATTTTAAATATTGCCTGACTGAAAGAAAAAGTATACTTTATGGAAAAATACCAAGATCGAAAATTTATGCCAAAAATTCAAGGTTTTTTGCATTGGATATACATAGAACATTCATAAATTAAGTAAGTGGATTAAAACACATTTCCTATCATTTAAAAACTATTTAACCCTACATTGGTTGATTAAACACGATCTCTTTGTCGACAAAAAAAGACACGATCTCTTTAGCGTGTCTGGTGATATTATTAGAACATGAACATGTTTAGTAGTGTACAGCATAACAAATCGTAACGATCCATACAAATCTTACTATACAAATCCAAACATGACGAGTGATTTCGCCATCGGTCTTGCCATATATGTTGCACCTGCTTGGTCGCACCGTTGAATCGCCAAGAAAAATAAAAAGGAATAAACGGAAAAAAAGGACAGAGAAGCAAAAGACCAAGTGGTCACAGGTTGCTGTGAACAAAAAATTCCTAACAAAGACACACAAGACTAGTCTGTTTATGGACAAGAAGCTAGAAATGTCTTTTGTCTTCACAGAATATTTTAAGAGACAAACATCTCGTAAAATGTGACCACAAAATAAAAGAAATAACGTCAAATATCACAAACCATGGGATAAACACTCCAAAAAGAGCCAGATATTAACACGGAAAAAGAATCTCAGAAATAAAACCTCAAAAAGATCCTGGAAAGTAACTCTTCTTTTGGTAATAACATATCACGAGATTTTTCATCATTTGAAGCAGAGTTGCTCCGTCAAACATTGGTAATGGAGTATATAATAAAACAATCTTACAAATTGCACACTCTCCAAGAAACTTCTAACATGTCTGATTTGCAAACAGGAAAGGTAGAATACAATCCTCAGATTATCAAGCTGCTAAAGCAACATATGTTCAACACTTGAGTTTAACCTATGAATCAACCAGTCAGAAGTGATTCACGAAGAAAACCTTCTAGTACTAATTTATTGATCACAGACAAGTAGAGCTTCGTTGTCAATGTTCCATAAGAGTAAAGAAAGAGTAATCAGGAAACAAGATAAAGCGCAATACACAAATATTATTGAAAGTTCACTAATCTGACAAACAAAACCAATCTGCCAAACTATGTCTATGAAAGAAAAGAAAAATACAGGAAGACATCCTAGTCTATCATTCAGTTCAAAGCAGCAATACATTCATCAATCCAGAGATCTAAAGATGCTGCAATCACGTAATCACCATTAAGCACATAAAAGCATCTTCGCCCTGTCACAAACCTGAATCAAACATCCATTCACAATTTAACTTGGTCATTAGCATTAACAAACGAATTAAACTACAAGCAGAAATCAATAACTCCCAAGCAAAGTGTGGAGCAAATGGACCCTGTACTGCAACTAAGCAATTGTAATTAGCCTAAAATATTTATAGTTTACACCAAAAAAAAGAGTAAATACATGAATCAATACTAACAACATAGAGATAACTCAGGAATCACATCAAGTAGCTTATATCACTGACCGCAAGCAAACAGCCACAAGTGGACACACGAAAGAAAAAAATAAAAAACAGAAATTTCTAGCAAACAAACAAAGCACATGCGAAAAACCACTGAAGACTACATCAAAATGCAAGGACCATGCTCATGTACAAAATAACACTAGCAAGATCAAGCAAGAAAATAACTCAATTTAAGGAAGAACCATCTCACCATTCAGTAATTCGGTGCACCATTTGGGTACATTCCTCCAGGAGGAACCCTCGGAGCTGTGGAGGAACCAACAGGCTGATGCTGTCCAGGATATGCAGAACCTGATGAATGCCCATAGTGTCCACTCTCATGATAACCAGCCCCAGTCATTGAGCTTGGTGGCATTCTATACGGACCACTTCCAACACCAGGCCCACCTGGACCATAACCGGCATAACCTGGACCACTGTATCCTCCATAATGACCAGCATACCCACCTGCTCCATTACCCATAGATGACGGCGTCGAATTCATATGATGCGGTGGTGGTCCTCCTGAGTACCCACTGTAAGCACCCAACCCACCCGGTCCACCAGGTGGACCATAAGGTCCAGGAGGAGGAGCCACACCCATTCCATTACCATGACCATGACCATGCCCATGACCGTTTCCAGGCCCAGCAACAACATCTTTAACAGGAGGCTTTCCCTTCTTACCATCAATAGCCAACTTACACTGCAAATGCTTTCCATCAACCACCTTCGTCGGATCAGCAAGTGCAGCTTGTGCACCTTCACAAGTCTTATAAACAAACAAAGCAAACCCTCTAGACTTCCCAGTAACCTTATCAAACCCCAAAGGACCTTCCTCAATCTCCCCATACGCCAAAAACAAATTCAACAACCTATCCGCAGGCATATCAACAGGCACATTCGCCACATAAATCTTCCTCATCGAAACATCCGAAACATTCGCCACACTCCCACCTTGATTCCCAGCAGCCGCCAGCTGCGTGACCGTCACGCGCCCGTCGATCTTCTTAGACGGATCTTTCAAAGCGAGAAGCGCTCCGTCTACATGCTTAAACGTCACGAACCCGTACCCTTTCGACTTCGCGGTAACCTTATCGAGGATCACGATCGCCTCCTCGAGATCCCCGTAAGATGAGAAAAGCGATCGGAGACCTTCCGTCGTCGTCTCTGCCGCGAGGCCGCGGATGAAGAGCTTCCTCTGCGTGACGTCCGAGTCGGCGGTTGAACGAACGAGGTCGAGGACGTCGGGGTGTCGAGCGGCGGCGTTTTGTAAGATGTCGAGGAGCTGATCCGTGGAGAAGCGTTCGATGAGTTTTCTAGCGTCGTGTGGCGTCAATCGAGTTGAGATGTGTGCGTCGTTGAAGATCCCGTTGCCGTTCTCGTCGAGCCTTCGTTTCTTTAACATGTCCATGATTGAAGATTTGTGTGTAGAAGATAACTTTTTCACCTCAAATCCTTAACCCTAATTGAGGCGGAGACAGCGATAAACGAGACAAAAGAAAAATCAATCGAAGAATCAAAAAAGCCGGCGAGAGAAATCAGGGGGAATGATAGGGAGGGATGGTTATTTATACCAATTTAGCCCAATAATTTGCAATTTAGGGTATGAATTAAATAATATAAGCCCATTTAAGGCCCATTTAAATAACGTCGGCTTCTTCATATGATTTTTTACGACCTACCCTATAAAATTGCAATTACAAGGGATAAATGAAATAAAGGAAGCCCATTTATGGCCCATTATTGCTCCTCTAACTACCACCTTATCTGTTTCTCCCGCCGTCTCTGTACATTCTCCATCAATGGGTCTCGCCGGGAAAGTATCGTAGTTCCGTGCCGGAATGTCGTTAAATTTGTGAGTTCACAACTGTTATTTGCCACTTACGTATTCAATATACTTTGTGTTTTAAATTTGCAAGTACTGTTTTTTGTTTTTGTTTTTGTAGAGGGCTATCAATGGAGATGAAGTACCCAGTTCAATCAATTCGATGCGTATGGTGTTACCCAACTGCAGTTTACGGGAATCTAAAAGAACCCATCATCTTTAGAATATCAAATTCTATCAGACAATTGGAGTTGAAATCTGCTGCTACTATACAGTCATTGTACAATGTGTTTGAGATACGTAGCAAAGAAGACAAGCCAAGTCTTATGAAGATGCAGGCTATGGAGAAAGAGACTGAAGTTGATGGGAAGATTAAGGAAGAGGAAAGGAGAAGGAAGATTGGGTTAGCAAATAAAGGAAAGGTACCATGGAACAAAGGAAAGAAACACACTGAAGGTTAGATAGAAAATCCATCTTTTTTGTTTCTTCTTCGATTTGTAAAATGACTGTTTGATCAACCTCTTAAACAGACACTCGAAGACGAATCAAGGAGAGAACTATTGAAGCTTTGAGAAATCCCAAGGTGATGTCAAGTAAGACTCATTCAAATTTGTTTCTACTCGTTGAGATGACAAAACCCATATGGCAAAGTTGAACTCTTTACCATCTTTTCAGGTTCGGGATAAGATGTCTGAGCATCAACAACCACACAGGTAATAGCGTAGTCATTGTTGACGTATAGTGGGTAGATGCTCGAGTGTTAAAAATGCTGAGTTTGTCTCTTGCAGTGATGAAACCAAGGAGAAGATTCGAGCTTCGGTGAAACAAGTTTGGGCCGAAAGGTCAAGATCTAAGCTATTAAAGGAGAAGTTCACCTCACTGTGGTCAGAGAACATTGCAGAAACTGCAAGGAAAGGAGGAGATGGTGAAGTGGAACTCGGTTGGGACAGCTACGAAAAGTCTAGACAAGAGATTTCATCTGAGCAGCTTCACTTGGCTGAAGAGGAAGCTAGAACAAAGGAACAAACCAAGATGAGAGCAGAAGAAGCCAAGACAGAGAAGATGAGGAGAGTTGCGGAAAGAAAAAGACAAGGAAAGACTAAAAAACCAAAGCAGAACAAGGAGAATGCAACCGTTAGCTCACGTTGTAAACTGAAGAAGAAACTCACAAAGGTAAAAAAAGAGAAAAACTATTCATTGGACGCTTCAGACAATACAAATAGCATAACTTGATGACTCTTTGGTTTTGCATAAATATCTTGTCAGATTCACAAGAAGAAAACAAGCCTTGGTAAAATCGCTATTGTAAAGGATAGGGTGGTTTCAGTTGCAGACAAGCTGGAGAAACTGGACTTGGAACTGGTAAGGAAAGAGAGAACAAAAAGAGATGTCTCGCTTGCTGATCAGATCCAAGCCGCCAAAAGCCTGCGAGGCAACGATGGCTTATCAAGATTTGGTGTTTTTGCAATGAAATCAGTGTACTATGATTAACTTTTTCAACTCAGTATTTTATAGAGTTGCCCCTTTACTTCTTGCTAGTAATAGAACGTGTGCTACTGCTACTATAACTAACTAACAGTCTCTCACACAAACTAGAGTGACAAATAGCAGAACACCGGCCACAAGAAAAATAAACTTCTGAAAATAAAAAACAGAGTAACCTCCTCGTCTTTTTATTTATAAGACATTAAGCATCACACTAATCACAAAGCACACTACAATAAAGGTCCACTCATCGATAGCTTCATAACAAAGCATTTTCTTATTAAAGTCACTCTCACCTGAGAAACTAATTTCGTTGAGTTTACACAAGAGTTGCCTTTGCGAGCTGAAGTCCTTTCTCGCGACCATAAAACTTCTCTACAATTGCGAGTGCAAACTCCAACGAGGTTCCAGGGCCCCTGCTCGTTATGAGATTACCGTCCACCAATACTCTATGCTCGATGTGACTCTGGTCCGACAATTTGTTGCACATTGCTGGAAAAGCTGTCGCCTTCTTACCCTATACAAACGTTCATAAAGAACTGTTATGACTTATGAAACTGAAATCCGCAGAAAGATTAGAAAACATTCTATTCTCGGAAATCCTATGCATCTGGGTCTCCACTATTAGCTAACAATGTGTATTTCTCTCTCGCTTTGTTTGTACCTTGAGTAAACCATTTGGCTCAAAGACCAGAGCAGGAGAGGCGCAAATTGCTCCATATGGTTTGTTTGATTCCGCTTGCTTCTTTAACATACTCACTAGCTTCTTTGAACTGGCAAATGCTTCAGCACCACCGAGACCACCCTGTGAATTAAAGAAGTTCATAATGTCGGCTAATTCAACTTTCTTGACATTAAATTTGTTCTGTCTTTTTAAGATGTTAGTACTCACAGGCAGCACAATCAGATCGTATGCATTCTTTTCAGCCTCGTCGAGAAGCACATCCGCCACTAGCTTGACTTTACGAGATGCTACCACTTCCAAACTGTTACCAAGTGCAGCAACAACTACGTTTGCTTTTGCCCGTCTCAGTACATCAATAATAGCAACAGCTTCCATTTCCTCAGAGCCATCTGCAATTGGTACAAGAATCTGAAAAGGAAAACTAAAGACTCTCAGTGTACAGAAGAATGTTATTTAAAACAGATACATAAGCTCATCAGAAGAAGTGTGTGCAGTTTTTTGCCAGTAACTTTTTGTTTCGATACTCATCATCTAACCACCTGAAGTAGCTAAAGCTACCAAATTATCTCACATTACAAATCGAATAAACTATCAAAATATATCTCTTTTGCAAAATTTAAGGGTGTCAACCAAGTGGATAGGCGTCGATAGTAAGTTACCTGTGGGGTACTGTCATACGACCAGTTTATTTGGTTAAGCTCTGTAATAGTGTATTCATCACCAGGGTTAGGACGCATCACCTGATGTCAAAAGGGGAAGAAGAGAATGTAAGAGCATACCATGGAACAACAACTATGCTACCAAACGAATAGTTTTTTTTGTGTGAATATATGTTCATGTTTCATATAGCTTTCAGTTGCTTGTAATCTGTTTAAAACAGTCAAAGAGCATTACGCAGGGAATCGAGTGCTGGAAAGTATAGCCTTTTACAGACCTCATATTCAAGGAAATCAAAGCAATAATGAGCTAGGACATAGATATCAAGTTGCAGTGCTAACTTTGGTAGTATGTCTTTACAGAGCATCAAATTACAACAGCTACATAAACTACCATTCTTTGCCAAGGATTCTCTTCGCAACTAAATAGCGGTCTCTAAGATCTGTCAGTTCCCAATATGTGGATTTGAAGTGAGGTTTGATAGAAGCACTAAGGAAAAGAGACATACCAAGGGTGTAGAGACTTCAGCAGCTTTCTCTTTCCCAAACAGTTGCTCCACAAGCGTGACAGAGAACTCCATAGTGGTTCCAGGTCCTCTACTAGTCACTATCCTCCCATCTATTTCCACTCTTGACTCAACAGCTGTTGCACAGGTTGCTCCAAGCTTCTCCATAAAAACTGGGTAACATGTCGCCTACAAGAAACACACATCTGATTTACACACCAAAATACAAAACTCCAAACAAACAAAGAAAAGATCTTGAATACTAATCACTGCATACATACTTTTTTACCCTCTAGCAATCCCCAAGTCCCAAGCGCCAACGCCGGAGCACAACAGATAGCAGCGTTTAGCCGTCCATCTGCGTCTTGTTTCTTCACCATATTCTCCAAAGGTTTACAGTTCTTAAGAGTCTCTCCCCCAGGTAGTCCTCCCTTCACCAAAACAGACCACAAGTAACAAAATTAGCTATCAAATTCTTAAATATATCATCAAAATATAAGCGAGACAACAACTACTAAGCAAAGCTGCACATAGCGAGATGAAACATTCCCTTCTTCCCCTAAATTAATTTAAGAGAAATGTAATGATCATTTATACTTCAGTGTATAATTGTTTCAAGCTCCATAAAACTTTCCCTGAGAAAGGCATAACAATGATTCGCTTCGATTGAATCCTTAATAGTTCAATTAAGTGTTCACTGTTCACGAGATAGATCCAGAGATCAGAGACGTACAGGGAGCATAATAAAGTCGAAAACGGAGTCGGTGATATCAGAGAGAAGAGTATCAGCCACCATCTTGATCCCATGGCATGCATCAACGCCGACCTGATTCTCCACGGAAGCAACCGTTACATCCGCTCCACTTCGCCGCAACACATCGATCATCACCACCGCTTCAAACGGCTCCGTACCATGCGCAACGGGAATCAAAACCTAAACGCACGAACAAAAACAATAATCAAGAGAAATTGAAGGATCGATAGGGATGTGAAGAAGCGATCTTCGTCGTACCTTCTTAGTAGGTGAAGCCATAATCGCAGAGACGGAGAAGGATCGAGAAGTTCGATTACGTCGAGAAGATGGAGAAGTTGTGATAGTGCTGAGTAATGGAGTGACACTAAGGGTCCGAATGGTGACGGCGGAATTGGAATTAAAAGCGGTGCGGAATTAAAGTGCGGGACGGTATAACTGCGGTTCGTACGGTTTGCGAGAGAAGTGCGGTTTTGGTAAAATTAGTGGTACGGAATTGTGTTGATTGGTGAAAATATGTTATTTGAGGAATTGAACAATTTAAAAAGATAAAATAAATTTGTTTTAATATTTTTAAAATAGCATAAAATTATTGTTTTAATTTTTTTTAATTATATCCCTTCCACAAATACATGTAATTATATATAATTACAAAAAAATATTTGCTAATGTAATATTGCAATAACATCAATGTCAACATATATTACATAATATATTACATGGAATTAACCATGTGGAATAATATCGCTGTTTACTAGTAATAGATAAGATAATTTGCTAAGATATTTTGGTAGAATAAATTTACTAGAATAGAATTAGGATACATATATGCTATACGTGTCTTTGTGTTCTTTTAAAAGTCCCAAATGTCTAATGAGTTATTTTATCATGCATTTTGTTTTTACGGTTAAAATAAAAAGTAAGTTACAGATATATGCGTTATTTAAGAAAACGCACCTATTTGCATGTATATGCGGTTTTCAATTGCGTATTGTTTGTTGTGAGGTATGGGGAACTGTGCGCGGTTTTTGATATTTTTTTACGAATAACGCAAAGTAAACAAATAATTACATGATTGGTGTTATCAGTGCGTTTTTGGGTGCACTGTTACAAATCCGTCCCGTCCCGCTAACACCATTCATTACCTAAGAGCATCCAGATCAATGAACCAATCTTGGGTTCATTGATTCAATTGTTTATTATTAAAATATTTTGATTTTTTTTTTGATTTTTTTTTTAAGAAAAAAAAAAAAAATTGACTAACCGCGGGTCACCACGTGTCCCGAGACCCGCGCTACAGTGATGAACCGGGTTCACCGCAGAGAGTCTGCAAGAGGCAGGTTCATCACTATTCCTTATTTTAATATTTTCTTTTTTTGAAAAACGTGTGAACCCCATCTGAATCCTTGATGGGGATGCTCTAAAGTAGCGGTTACACGACGACGACGCCATTGACGAGTAAACACGTGTCTGGAATGTTCGATATGAAGAGGAAAAAAAAGTGTGTTTCGGATAATCGTAGACGACGTGTAGTTGGCTTTTTAAGACGAGAACAACGTCCCGGTTCCTAGTTTTACTGATGCACTTGTTCTCGTTTTCATGCTTTCATAAATAATACACCCTCCCTAAAACTTATGATAGGATTAAATATTAGATCTAAAAAATAAAAAATTATCATAGGTTATTAATAACAAAATGAAATTAATATTATCATATCAATAAAACAAATTTTCTATTACCATTGTTCCAATTTCTTTGAATGATATAATACAATTTTCATCAAATTCTTAGGAATTACAAGTTTTTTAATTTTATATAGTATTCAAAAGTATGAGTTATTTAATCAAAATTTTTGAACTATAAGCAGGTTTTTGGATTTTTAACAGATCATCAGATATTAGATCATAGACTAATAGCGGATTTTTAAAATTTTTATTAGGTTTTATCGGATTATTAGTTAACAAAGGTAGTCAGATCTATCGATTTAACCATTGGTCAAAGTTTGATACAATTACACTGCTTAAAAATCTAACCTTATAAATTGTAATAGAACTTTTTTTTTTGAAATACTAATAAACAATTTTTAAATTGCTTATTTTCTAATACATGTTATAAATTAAATCAATTTTATCAAAATTGTAAAAATACTCCCGCGTTTTTAAAGCGCGGATCAAATCTAGTAAACTATTAAAAGTAGAGTACATTTTGTACTTAACCTAGACTTTTCCTAAAAGTTTATCATTTCATGCCATTAGCATAATATTCTGTCTTTTGTTGTTATTATTAAACCATCTAACATAAAACATGCATGTCTGTTGTTTTTATTAAACCATATAATAATTACTAAACCATAACATGATTAAGAGCATCTCCAAAAACTTCTTTATAACTTCAAATATAAGATTTTGTGTACTTCAGAAACAATCTTAAAACCTTAAATGTTAAGATTTTGTACAGTGAAATCTCAAATATAAGTTTCACTGTACAAAACC